TGGGCACCCACTCAGCACCTTGGCTTCACTGTCCCACCTGTTCTGAGTGGGCGCCCAACAGAGGAGGCAAGGTGGCAAAGCACCAAACAACTATTCAGCTGATAAATGAACTGGCAAGAAACACTGAGGTGGCAGTTCGTGCCCATCTCTATATGTGACCATTCCATGCTCTTACAGCAAAACACTCTGCCAATAAGGTGGTGCTAGGCTTGCAGGCTGATATACATTAGCATAGCTAGCTAACTTTCTTGCTTCCTTGCTTCCTTCCTCCCATAAATGTCATTTATAGGCCACCTTTCTCCCAATGAGGGATTCAAGGTCAAGTGTACCTTTCAGAGTATGTCTATCCCACGCAGAATGGCATGATCCTAAGTCTAAAATGGAAAAAACCCTTGCTTTTTTTTCTTAAGGAGCAATACAATCTTCTTTCCATGCATGGAAAAATACATTTCTTAATCGTATATGTTTTTATTTGCATTTTTAAAAATTAAGGTTAATGTAGAGTGTTTCAGAGACTAAAAGTGTCCAGGAACTGAAGCTAGTGGGATCTAACATTTCTGAAGTATTTTCAGACAACACAATCCACAGCAGGTATGTTTCAGATCCATCTGGGTGAAGCTAGTGTTAATAAAAGACTTGCTCCCAGCTATCATTTCAAGAGACCATGTCCAATACCTTCTTATTACTATATCAAAGGTCTGGGGAAAACCTTAGTGGTGCAACGTCTTCTTGAACAAATACTGATTTGTGAGTTAGGGAACTCTGCCCTCATCATTTGATCTGTTTTTAAACAAAGCTATCATTAATTACTAGGAACTTATCCAAGATGTGTCTCTTGAGTAACTGATGCCCCTCAACACTCAGTACAGAAACAAACTAATCTATTCCCAAACATTCAAAATTTCTGGATGAAAGTGTGGTAAGCATCACATTGAGCTGAGACTGCTTAGATTAGCACCATGTCTTCATCAGTAGCCAATCTCAGATCTATCAAGAAAAAAAGGAAACTAGATTAAGTTTGTCTCCATTCCCATTTTCAGGCATTTGCTGTTCTTCATTACTCGTGCGCTAGTCTTCATTATTCATGTGCCTGTCTTTTATGATAAGAACATGGGATCTTAATTTGAATGAATCCCCTTGTACCACAGTGGGACATTTTTGTCCACTGGGGTTTTGCTTTCTAGTGGAATTAATATAAAAATAAAACTAGACCAATGTAGGCATTCCACCACATTGTCTTCTGAAGAATTTCCACAGATCCTGGGCAACTGCCATGTACCTTTTGGTTTCAGGTTGCAAACTATTTCCACAGATCCTGGACAACTGCCATGTACCTTTTGGTTTCAGGTTACAATCCTTTCCATTTAAAAAAAAAGGAGAAAAAAGAGCAACAATGGGACATAATGTCTCCCCAAAAAATCCATTGCTTTTTGTCATTCAAGGTTCTCCCCCCACCCCTTTGGCCCTGCCAGTGTAACATATGGGTACAAAAATATCCTGTGCCATTTTTGGGGTAAACCAGAGTGCTGAGTATCAGGAGTCATTGACACTAGTTGTCAACAGGTTGGATCAATTTGAGGGAGCAGAACAGTGGAATTCTCTCTAGGATCAGAAAATAAAGGAAGTGTGTATGAAATCCATAACCCACCCTTCATGTCCATCTTCAATACACTGGACATCTCATTGGGTCAGAAAATACCTCACAAGTCAATCAATGAAAGTTTTTTTAACCCTTATGGTACTTCTGCTGGTAAATCTCTGTAAGAAAGCCACCTCCACTGGCTATCATCAACATGAAATCTTTAGCTAGACATATAGGGAAATAATGGCATAAGAATGGTATGCTTATTTTTAAAAGGAAAACTCTGTAAGGATTAATTGATATATCATGGTTCAAAATATTTTTCTCCAGCATTGTATTTTTTTCATATCTTTGTCCAATGTATTACAACCTTCTGTCATCTTCAAAAATATCTTTTCTTCCAATAACACCTTTCTTTTTAAAGGAGCACCTGCTAATTTGTGTTAAATGATACAAACAGATCTTATTTGACTTATTTGCTTTTTGATGTCCTTATAACATTTTTTTCTCTAAAAGCTTCTTAGGTAGAAGACCACATTTCCATATGAAAAACAATAAAATAATAACATGCTATTGGTTGACATCACGTAGAAAGCAATTTCTCCTCTAGTCCAGAATTCTAAACGTACTCCCAAGTGCACAAAAATACCGTCCAGAAAGGCTATAATTCTCTGCTCCTCCTAGTGGATGAGTCATCTTCATGGGTTATCTTTTTCCACAGATAGATCTTTTCCCCATGCCACCAGAAGGAAATATTTGATGCCCTTACAGATGACTTGGCTCTCTCTGCATGTTGATGCTTTCTGGCCCTGAAGAAACTACTACAGAGAGAGAAGTGGTATTTAACTAGTGTTTGGGAAGGTAACCATAAATTGTTCTGTGCGATGTCTGTCTTAAATGACTTCACTGAAGAGCCAAAATGCCTATCTGAAATATTTAGCTTGTTTAATATGAAGACCAAGTGAAACAATTTCATAAGCTGGCCTCCTTTTCTAAGACATAGCTCCAGAAGCACCTATCAAAACTAAGATGTTTGCCTCTTCAAACATCTACTTTAGTAGGATGTTTGCCACATGATAACAGTTCAGGTGTATTGTTTTGTAGATTATTCTCCATTGTTGCACCCCACTTGACAAATAAGAAAACGAGCCTCTGAACAGTAAGCCTTAAATTGGGAAGGGCACTGTGGAGCCTCTGGGCCTTCTGCATGATTCCTGGAACTCTACCAGACCCCATTACCAAAAAGAAAACGAAAAGAAAAAAACCACCAAAAATGAACAACTACATTTACAGAGACCTCTAAGGGCACAACTGTAATCTTGCTTTTCATCCACCCTCACAGTACTTCATTTAAAATAACGATTTTGAAAAACTGGAAGTGATCTGATAACTTCTGGTTACCAGAGGGGGAGAGAGAGAGAACACAAGATAAGAAAGAGAGAAGAGAAGATAAAAGAGAGAAGAGAAGAGAAGAGAAGAGAGAACACAAGACAAGAAAGAGAGAAGAGAAGAGAAGAGAAAGGAGAGGAGAGGAGAGGAGAGGATAGAAGAGAAGAGAAGAGAAGAGAAGAGAAGAGAAGAGAAGAGAAGAGAAGAGAAGAGAAGAGAAGAGAAGAGAAGAGAAGAGAAGAGAAGAGAAAAATGGGCACAACTTGCCATGATTGCCCATCTAACCCATTCACCATATGGCTGAAGAGCAACCCACCTCTCTGTGTTCCATACAAGCTATTTATTCAGCCAACTGGCTAGGTTGACTTAGAACGATTATAAATTCATTTTGTACACAACACTTCCTGTATCAGGTATATGACGTGGTCAGGACCCACTTACTGACCAGCTTATGCATCCGGTAGAACGGTCTGTTGTCTACTATACTACAACCAATAGACTAGATTTTAAGGTGACCTGGGGCCATTTTTCTGGAGTTCAGAAGAAAGATGATTTGCTTTGCCAAGTCCACATTTGTGTTTCCCTGGAAATGTTTAATTTTTCAATAGAGCATATACAGCTTGGCAAAGATAACTGCAACTGTATGTAATTTTGTTTTTGTTTTGTTTTGGGGGGTTGGGTTTTTTTGTTTTTTGCATTTATTCTAGGGAGGAAACAAACTCCAGAAAACTACCACTTAGGAAGCAACACGGCTTTAAAAGGAAAAACAGGAGAAAAGAATTATCCATTTCAAATATTTCAAAATTCTAGAAGCTCCCCATTACCCAAGAAATAACCAGACTGTGCAGCCTTTGCTTCTGAACATTAATTTGATTATATCACTTTGCAATAGAAATGGAGGTGCACAGCATGTCTTTGTCTCTTACTTATACTAGTGTCGTCATCCCTCAATATCTGCATCTCTAAATTACATTAGCAGAATATCTTCTAGTGATGCAATGGTGAGAGGAATTCTTCCATTTTGATATTTGTGTGCGGATTTTGCTGAGGTGAGCTAATTAAGCCCAGTCACCTGTTACCTTTTCCTCTCTATTCACCTATAGATGAATTAGCATCATATCCCCGTAATGGGGGTGGGAGGCTTAATATATTCTTATCTGTGCCATTTGAAAACTGAACAGATTTACTTTGTAGATGCAGCACTGCAGTAATTTTCTTTTTCCACAAAGCTCTATATTGCATAGAAGTTCTGGGCACATAATTTTATGGTGAGACATGTTTATGGAACCACAGTGTCTCTCTCAGTGATTATATTGATGGGAGTTAACAATGTGTGTGGAATAGACAATAGGCTATATAAATAAAACAGATCAATGATGCCAATCAATGACACCCATTTATGAGCATGTCACTTGAAATCTGTGAGTCTGACTGAAGCTTTTTTATCCCTTCCCATAAGCCTGTTCTTGGGGTGGTGACAATAATGAAGATACAGAATCTCTATCTCCATTATTTTACACAGAATTCACTTATGTTATACATCTGTAGAAGGCTAATTAGATATTAAATAACCAATCCAGATTGCACTTACAGAACACTATTTTGAGAATTGTGAAATAAAATATCAAATCATCACAATCTCAGTTAGGGGTTCAGAAGGCAATGATTTTATAAAAAAAGATGCTAGTGGCTCTGTTGCAGCTTAATCTGACCCTCACTAAACTATAGTGAGTAACAGGGTGAACAAATTCTACCATTTTGCAACTCTCTGCCATGAATCATTTATTGAGTTTTATATGCTGGTCTCTTGTGCATTGTATCTGAACACACAGAGAACCACACAGTAAAGGACAGGCCTTTTTAATACTGTTGGATTTGAATGGAATAGATATTTTTTTAAAAATGCTTTAGAGAGACAATTGAACAAAAAAGAAAGATGATCTGTTGTTTTCTTTCTTCCTGTTGTTACTGCTGTTCTGCTTTGGGTTTTTGCTCTCCTTTGTTTTGTTTAATTTTTCCCCCTATTTACCTTTTCCGGAGCTGGGAACTGCAAATGATTTACTTCCAAAGGTGTTATCAAAGGAACTGTCTGAAAACCATCTTCGCTGGACGGCTGCGGCTTGTTCTTGTCATTCAAATTGCTCCCCAGTTTCACCATCCTTAGACCTCAGTTTCCAGACCTAAAAACGGATTGAGACAGCCCGTGTGAAAGAGATGAAAGGATAGGGAAGGGGAACAGGAGATTAAGAAGGAGAGGCTGCTTTGTGACACTTCAGTCAGACCCATGGCTCCTAAACCATTCCCATTTGAAGCTCTCTGCTAGATATTTTTTGCGGGGGGGGGGACCTCATATTTTGTACCACTCCATTTCTAGGCACCCTTTTTAAAAAGATGTAAGATCAAGGCTGCTTCTTGAGCCACCTTCCTGGAGACTTTGCATCCCCTCTCCCTTTGTTTCGACCCAACCACAACAAGAACTGTGACAAACCCAGATGCCTGCCATAAGAGCGAACCCCGCCTTGCTGCTTTGTTGCACATCCATGGAAGCCAGTGAGGCTTGTGCGAGAGAGGAGGTTTGGCCCAGGTTCGGGGAGTTTTGTGTGCTTTGCGGTGTGCCGGGTGTGCACGGACGTGTGGGTGTCCTTGTGCATTTTAAATCACGGCCGCTGCATCAACCCCCTCGTGTGATTGATAAGGGTCATTATTTAACAAACCCACCCACCCTGGTTCTTCAGCTATGGATAGAGCAGAGTAGCAAAAAAAGAAATTATTTTATCCTCTGGGATGGCTTCCTGGCTCCCCCCCCCAAAAAAAATGTAGGGTGATCATTTCCCTTCTCCTCTCTCTCTCTCACAGCCGGTAAACCTGTACCGGTAAAAGGGAGTGGGAGAGGACACAATGCATCCTGCTTCATGGATCAAGAGGGACCAGAACAGCCGACCCCAGCAGCCCACCCACGCACGCACCCACCCTCCCTTCGTCGCCGGCTGCTGCGCACTTACTTTAGGACACCCCACGCTCGAAGAGGGCGGCGGCTCAGGTAGGGCTGCGCAAAGAAGCGGGCTCTTTCCCCCTCTCCCCTCCTTCTCCTCGGTGGTGCTGAACGGACAGCGCTACGCCCTCCAGCCGGCTGGCTCCAGACGCTCCTGAAAGCGACTCAAGGACCGAATGCAGAGCGAGCGAGAGCAGCTCGAGTCTGCGGCAGGCAGGCAGGCAGAAACACTCCCAGGCTGGGGCGGCGGCTTCTGTTGTGGGATCTGGCACCACCTGCTGTTGCCGAGCATGGCCACAAGCGCCGGGAAGGGAGGGAAAGGAGGCGGCCGGCAGAACGGGCGAGGCGTTCACCCCTCGACGCCACCTACCGTCGGCTCAGAGAATGGCGGGCTAGGGGCTTCTTCCGCGTTGGCCGGCGTGGCTGGCGTCGTCGTCGCCACCACTGGCTTCCCCGGTCTGGGTGTGTGTCGCCTGACTGCGTGGGATGTCATTGACACAGAAGCACCAGTCCGGTAAGAAGGAGGCCAGGCAATCGCTGTAAGCAAGGGCGAACCTTATTGCTAAGAAATTCTAAACGGGGTTTTCCCTTGCACTCACTTTTCCTAGTAGTGCTGGTTTGGTGGCCTGATCTCCAGTTAGAGTCTACTCGAGTCAACTCACATTAAGTAAAATCAACTTAGAAACTAACAGATGGGGTTTAAGATGCACAGCTTTTGCAGAAATACCGCATCTGTAAAACGTTGCCCACCAGCAGTCATGGGATGGCAACTCTGGTCAGTCCTAGCCAGCAAGACCAATGGTGAGGAATTCTGGGGGTTGCAGTCCAGCTAATACCTTTGCCCACTAGCTGTAGCCTGCAAAGAATATGTGGCCTGTTTGATAGGAGTGTCCTAGCTGTAAAGCAACACCTGCTGATGCAACCCTACACACACTTCTCATTTTTTTTTGTTTTATTTTATTTTATTTGATGTTTATACCACCCATCTGGCTACCAAGGCTACTCTCAACAATTTACAAATTCAGCAACATCATAAAACTAGAAGAACAAGAAAAAAATAACTGAAAGTCAAAATTAAAGACAAAAATACGACAACATAATAAAATAATGAAAGTAATGTTTGTTAGGATGAAGAGTGCAATGACTGCCGATGCGTTTAGGATCAGAGTGTAAGACCTGGAGGCTCCCTGTACGACAACAACTTACTGCGATTCCCCCATGGAAAAGCCAGTAATGGCACAGACATAAAGATGTCAGGGACTATATTTGCTCTGACACATTTGCTCCTTCCTGCTATTTACCTGTCTTGTTGGACCACATTGTAGCCTAACTCCAACCTAAGAAGTGTTTAATCAGTAAACAATATGTCCACTAGCATAGAAGGTTTTGGGAAACAATCTGGATCAGGGTGCTGATTCTCAAACCAGTTTCCCTGTGGAGAAAAATGTGACAGCCCATTTACTCCCTTCCAGCAGAAAACAATGTTTTCCTCCCTATAGCAACAGAGAACCCCAGAGAAATGATTAACCAAAGCTGTTTCCATAGGTGACATCAACTATTTCTCTTGAACCTCTCTCACAGTATTCATATCCTTGTGAATGGACTTGATTTAGTATCTAAGTAAGACATAGGAAAGGAACAGCATGTGCCATTTCACCTGTGCAGGCTTCATGTTTGCATTACACTGCAGTATTATAGGAAAGAGAGAAATGAAATATGAACACATCAATTGCTTCTCCCTCTTTAAATCCTCTTCAGCAACATTATGTTTCCAATAGAACAGTGAAGATTTGTTTTTTAAGAGTGGAGCCAGCAAGGTAAAGTAGGAGTGAGCACTTGTAGTCCAGCAGTTGTTGAACTGCAACTTCCATCATCCTCACCATTGGCTATGATAGCTAGGCTGATGGGAATTGCAGTCTATGAACACCTGGAGCCCCTTCTCCCCCACATGAGACCAAGCCACCAAATGCTTTTTCTCCCAGTTCTCCATGCACAAAAATTGTCTCTAGCCCAGTCTTGGCTGTCTGTGAGCACATACACACAGCAAAACACAGGCTGACTGATCACAAAGACACAAACAAGCCATGCTACTGGTTGTACTAATTTGTGCAACAAGACAAGCTAGCATATTTTCCAGTTTTTGCAGAAATGCACAAAATGCAGCCTCAAGAATGGTCTGTCAGAGTCCATTATCCAACCTCAAGACCTCTCCTTTTTTACAGCAAGGTGATGGTGACAATGATTTTGCATTATTACATCTAGGAAGGAGCAAGTCATGATTTGTATTCCTCAATACAGCTTCATTTTACTAGTTTGTGGAGGAATGGAGTGGGCTGGCTGGCAAGACCAGTTAAAGGACTGCCACACTTCAAGTTCAGCAAGTTTGTGAATTTTCATTAGAAATGCTCCCAGACTTTATAGTGATATATTGAAGGGGCATTGTACAGGCTGAAATCCTGTTGTGCAGTTACCAAAATGGCATAATTTTTAGGTGCAGATTACCATAAATTAAGAAATCTGCATGGTCATTATCCATTGCACAGAGTCATGCAACAGATAACGTCTATGGACATTTCTTATGGCAGTTTGCTTCCCAAAGTTATGCTCTTTGCATAACTGTACGACAGGATTTCAGCCGTTGTTATTTTAGTTTAGACCCAATATGCAGAATCACAACTGAAAAGACAATGGGTCCTCTACATTAGTCATACTTTGATGCTATTCCCTTTTGTGAACACTTGGAAATCAAGAAGTAAAATAAAGGAACTCGGAGGAACAGGAAATGAGTAAAACAAGAGGTGACAGGTTACAAGCCTACTCTTTTATTTCTTGCCGTCATGAAGTCTGAATGCATGTAATGTATGAAATAACAGGAAAAGGTAAGAAAAAAAATCATTTTGGCTACCCCTTGGAAGACAAAACAGCCATTTTATCAAGCTTGAGGTGAGAATCCAAGTTTGTGAGTCAAAAACAAGACAAAGCAAAATTAGCATTATTATCTAATATGATAAGAACCACACATGAAGCAACATCCCTTATTTCCATCCCTTTTGGGAAGAAAACAAGAGTGTAGCAGCCACTCAAGAGAAATTTAATTTGGGTTTTTCTCCTCAAGGCAAAGGAAACCCTGCAGCTACATTAGAAAGTTTAAAAGGTTGATTTTAGGGTTGAAAAAACCTCCTCTTTGAAACTTGCCAAATCAATTCTTTGTACATTTATATGATGTAGCAGTAATGAGTTTATATAAACTGGGCGCTTCATGTTTAAAACTGCGAGACATGCCCAGAGACTGAGAACAAGTGAAATCTCAGTAGGGATGCCATTAAGACAGCAGAAGGCAAAGCAACAACAAATCAAGGGAAACTTTCCGATTTTATTGCACATTAGATATAGTCTGACATATCCACCCACAGAGGACCGATGTAAGCAACAAAAGAAGAACTTCCACCTCTACTTTTTGCCAACAGAACTTGTGTCCTTCTTTTATTCTTGTAATAGAAGTCCAACAGTATATCCCTTTTGCAAACTAACCAGATCAAAATCCAAGTTCTGCTTTCACCATGACCCCTAACAATCCCATTTATTTAGAGGGACAGGCTACACATTTCAGGTGCCCTTTGCCTTGCGTATTCAGAGGAACATCTGGTGGTGGTATTTTGCTGACAGGATAGGGGGATCTAGTGGAACTGGGACACAGGCAGTTCCCTGTTCCTCCGCAACTCTCAAAAAACCCCACAATCAGTTTTGGAAGGCTTGGAAGCCCTCCAGTTTGGGGACAATATGGAGGGCTGAAAGGAGAAACAAGAGGAAAATCTGATGTTGCACTTGGCAGCAAAAGAATAGGTTTAGGCCTCAATAGCTGCAGTGTACATAAGTTAACTGCCTGGACAAGCATAATGCTGACCACCTGCTCTGTTTTGTATTCCAGTATAAATTCTTTAATCTCTTGAGAGCAAAGACCAAAGTCCAGCTGAAATGCATGCGGGAGTTCCTGTTCGCGAATGATGCAGCCATTGTTGCCCACTCTGCTGAAGCCCTCCAACAACACATGAACTGTTTTGGCAAGGCCTGCCAAGACTTTGGACTAACAATCAGCCTGAAGAAAACACAAGTCATGGGCCAGGGCGTGGACTCACCTCCCTCTATTACCATCTCCACACAAGAATTGGAGGTTGTTCATGACTTTGTGTACCTTGGCTCAATGATCTTTGACACTCTCTCCCTAGATGTCGAGCTGGATAAATGCATTGGCAAAGCAGCTACCATGTTATCAAGACTCACAGAGAGTCTATGGCTCAATAAGAAGCTGACAGCATATACCAAGATCCAGGTCTATAGACCCTGTGTCCTGAGCACACTCCTGTACTGCAGTGAGTACTGGACCCTTTGTGCACAGCAGGAGAGGAAGCTGAACATGTTCCATATGTGTTTTCTCCAACACATTTTTGGTATCACCTGGCAGGACAAAGTTCCAAATAGAGTAGACCTAGATCAAGCTGAAATTTTTAGCATGTATACATTACTGAAACCGCAACGTCTACATTGGCTTGGGCATGTTGTGAGAATGGCTGATGGTTGGATTCCAAAAGATCTTT